TCAACCAAAAAATGTGAAGAAAAAAATATTCTAATTGAAAAATCAATGGACATTCTAATGCACTTATACGAATCTCGTACGAGGGGAAGTTATATCCATTGATATTTATAAATTAAAATATTCATTAAATAATATTAATAAATTTAAAATATAGAATGAATATGTAATACAATTTATCTATATTAATTTATTGAAAATATTATGTGAAATTTAAATTGTGCAATATTACATAAAACATGTCTATTTAAGATTAATACACAACTCGTACGGTGCATGTAACTAATAATAATTAAATTATATTCATTTCAAAATAAGTGTTATTTTAAATTTTTTATTCAGAAATTCGATCGGAGTACAATGTGATTCCATAAAGTAATTATTTTGTTATAACTGCATAATATATTTAAAAATCTATATGAATAATAAGTATAATTGTAACGCCCACTTGCTATTTAAAAGATAATACTAATATTTTCTAAGTTATAAAAATCTGAATTTCTTTTTCTCGGGCAGTTACTCAAAATTTCTCTTTCTTTTTGAAAATTCTAACTATTTATCTCATAATTTTTAGACCGGGTCCGGTAATCGACTCGGGCAGGTCCTCAGGTCACCGGTTCAACCGTCGCGTCACCGGGTCAATTGTTGAACCGGATAATTAATTCAAAATTTTTAAAATTATATATAGAGTATTTTTGTCATATATTTATGCATAAAAGTAACAAAATTCATGTTTTGTGTATAAAATTTGTTCATTAAAGTGTTAATAATATTATCTCATGATAAATATTTACCATATAAACATATATATATATATATATATATATATATATATAGGATGTGGTTCAAATGAGAACCAAGTCTTAGTGTGAGAACCGTGAGAACCGCTATTTTTATTTGGGCGTAGTGCTATGATTGATTGTGTTTGATGCTATTTTTAATTAGGATGAATTTTATTAAAAATAGCAACACAATTTCTGGTAGCACTTGTAAAAATGATAGCATCATCTACTATGAAAAATAGCATCATGCACAATTAAAAATAGCATTAAAAATAGTTCTCACGGTTCTCACACCAGGACTAGTTTTTATTTGAACCAATCCCTATATATATATATATATATACATAGTTTTATTTTTAAAAAACAAAAAAATATAAAAAAAAAATATATGGACTGGGTCAACTCGCCGGGTCAATGCCCCGGGCCGGTTGGGTCAAGGCCGGGTTAGCCGGATTTTGACCGGGTTTGACCGGGTCCTTTGTTCCCCGGTCCAAATAGCCCACCCAGATCGGTTCCGGCTTCGGGTCGACCGGTCCCAGGTCGACCCGCCGGGCCGGTCCAGGTAAAAAAAACTATGATTTATCTACTAAATAAAATTACTAACTCTTTCTCTTTATCTCGACCCAAAGCTAGCTAAGGGTCTATGAGAACTAACTCCTAAAAATAATAAATCGATATATGCAGAGTACTCGAATCTTGAATGCATATAATCTCAAATAAGTCTCATAATTCTCAATTTCAGAACAGCAAACCAAACTCAACAATCCAGTATCTCAACATGGAATAATAATAAGTCTGCAAAATTTTGAAATAAATAACTCAAGTAACTCAAACGACTGATAAATAAAAAGTGACCACCACGCACTACCATCCAATGCCGCCATCCAACTGCTTAACCTGAAAATGATGGTTGTGGGGGATGAACATAATAATCAACGTGCTCACCTTTAGCCTATAAAGTACAAACATTCAAATTAAGCAACAGTTATCGTAAGCAAATATGACACACAAATAATGGATTCGCACCCTAATAAGGTGCCTCTAGAATTCTCGCAGCCGTCTAGACGGCGCAACTCGTGTCATCTCATCTCATCTCATGTCACGTAGCCCCGTCGGGCGCTAAACTAGCATACGACATATCTCATATAAAATCACAACCATAATATAGGCGTTCATCGCAGAAGATCAGCCGTCTAGATGATGATCACGGTGTAAGTCTGGAAACACCTAACTCATGCACATAATTACAAACAAAAATACCACAGTGATTAATAGGAATGATGTACTAGATAGACTNTGGCGGATCCAATTATGGAGCCAACTGTATCCACATTATAGATACGGACGGCCATTGTCCCCCCAAACTTTTAATTATTTACTATCTATATATATACATATTGTAAGTATGTTACCAATTTTTATCCTTTACTACATAAATATATATTTATAAGTATATTCAATTTATACCTACATTTCATAATTATTACCAATTATTGTATTGCTCTGTCTATTAATTATTTCTAAGTACATTATATTTTTGTTAGTAAATTTTCACTCTTCATCTATAATATTTGGTATTTTTTCCTTGTAATTTATGATTTAATAAAATTGAATGTATGAGATATGTGACATCTTAATAAAAAAAATGAAACAACAAAGTATGCAAGAAATGCAAATTTATGGGATTGAAAAGTACTCGCAAGAAGTATTAACACTGAATCAATCGTTAATGAGTCTCGTGAAGTGAAATAATATCAAACACAATTTTAGAATACCAAAGTCCATATATTGTACAACATTTTATTATTTATTTTATCTATTTAATATAAAATGAAACTGTATGTATGTGTGTGATATAAAAATTATATATCATCTCTAAAGGTGTTATTTAAGTCGAGTCAACCTAAAATATCTCATGTTCAAACTCGTGTTTGATTAATAAATGAGTCAGCTCGGCTTGACTCATTTAATAAACAAGTAAGACCCGACTCAGTTAATACACAAAGTCAATTTAGTGTCTAAAAAATTAGTTTATTTAAGTATAAGAACAAGCTGAGCTCGAGTTTTTGTTAGTCAGACCGAGTTGTGTTTGCAAACAGTTTTATTCGATTTACAGCTCTAGTCCCCCCTCAAAAAATTTTCTAGATCCGCCCCTGCTTCCCCACCTGACTTCTGGAACCTGCTGAAAGATGATGTACTAGATAAACTTCCCCACAACTTATATTGCCACATAGGCAAATATAAATAGATTTTATAAAATGTTTAGCTAGCAATTATATATATATATATATATATATATAGGATGTGGTTCAAATGAGAACCAAGTCCTAGCATGAGAACCGTGAGAACCGCTATTTTTAATTGTATGAAGTGCTATGATTAAGTGTGTTTTAGTGCTATTTTTAACCAAAATTTATTTTATTAAAAATAACAACACAATTTATGTTAACATTTGTGAAAATGATAGCATCATGTAATATTAAAAATAACATCAACCACAATTACAAATAGCATCAAATATAGTTCTCACGGTTCTCACACCAGACTTGGTTTTTATTTAAACTAACCCTATATATATATAGACTAGTCAAACAAGTTAATATATATTAGTTAATAAATATTCACTAATACAATGTATATTAGTTATCCTTTTATTGCCAAAACAAACTATGTTTAAGCCACTAT